AGAATTATATTTTGAATGCTGAACAAAACCTCCTAAAATAACTAAAAACTTTGTAAATGAAAATTTGTTGGGTTTTGATTTGGGCCACTCACTCTTAATCTTTAAGCAGAGCAATTTCTGAGCTACGTGGCTTCCTTAGCTTCCACATTTTGTTGTTTTGGTTGCTGTGTGTTTACTGTATATACCAAGAAGAAAGAGGAATTCGAATAGTTGAAACTGTTTGTCTGAAACCCATAGGTTCGAAAATGACAGAGGAAACAACACCAAGGTATGTCTCAATCATCCCTAACTTCTTGATTTCACTCTTTTTTGGGTTATAATTTATCAGATTTTTTGTTTTTTGTTTGTTTCTTGTGGTGGCTTTGTAGATATGCTTTAGTTACTGGAGCAAACAGAGGAATTGGATTTGAAATATGCAGACAATTAGTGAGCAATGGGATTAGTGTTGTTTTGACCTCTAGAGATGAGAAAAGAGGACGTGAAGCTGTTGAGACACTGAAGCAAGAGCTTGGAGTTTCTGATCAAAGCCTTGTCTTTTATCAGCTTGATGTGTCTGATCTTGATAGTATCACTTCTCTTGCTGAGTTTGTGAAAACCCAATTCGGAAAACTCGATATCTTGGTAAGATCAGTTTACTCTGAATTTGCAGTTCCAAATCTTGTACACTTCTGACTAGAAAGCTAGTGCCTTTACTGATTAATATGTTCCGATTAGGCGAGTGAAATGTTTAATCTAATAGCTCTGAAAAAAAAGAGGAAAGAATCAGGGACATAATGGACACTGATGTTGAGTAAAGTTGAGTGGTCTTTTGATTGTTATTAGGTTTGTGTAATGTTTGAGTTGTCTTTCGATTGTTGTTATAGGTCAATAATGCAGGGGTTGGTGGTGTAATCACTGATGTTGATGCTCTAAGAGCTGGAACAGGGAAAGTAAGTGTATCTTTTTTGTGTGTTAGTTTGCAATAAACCGATGAATCTTTGTCGAGTTGAATGCTTTCTTGTTATGTTCGACATTGCAGGAAGGTTTCAATTGGGAGGAAACTATCAGAGAGACTTACGAGCTAGCCAAAGAATGCATCAAGATTAACTATTATGGACCAAAGAGAATGTGCAAGGCGTTTACTCCCCTTTTAAAGTTATCCGATTCGCCGAGAATCATCAATGTATCATCCTTCATGGGTCAACTAGAGGTAAAAAAAAAAAAATAGAATGTTTGAGAGATGTTGTCCAAGAAACCCTAAAAATTTTCATTAATGTTCACCAGAATATACTAAACGAATGGGCAAAAGGAATCCTCAGCGACGCGGAGAAGCTCACGGAGGAAAGAATCGATGAAGTGATCAACCAACTTCTTAAAGATTTGAAAGAGGATCCGGTTAAGACGAAAAATTGGGCTAAAGTTATGTCCGCATACGTGGTTTCGAAGGCCGGTTTGAACGGTTACACGAGGATCTTGGCGAAGAAACATCCCGAATTTCGAGTAAACTCGGTTTGTCCTGGATTTGTTAAAACGGATATGAATTACAAGACTGGAGTTTTGTCTGTGGAAGAAGGAGCATCAAGTCCTGTGAGATTGGCTTTGCTTCCACATCAAGAAACTCCTTCTGGTTGTTTCTTTGATCGCAAGCAAATTTCAGAGTTTTGATATAATATGCCAAAAACTTCGTTAATGTAATTAGAACTATCGTTTGATTAACATAATATTGCTGAACATAAACTTTCT